TAAGGGTAATGGCCTGTAGAGGAAGCTGCAAAGGAAAGCAGAATAAAGCTACCTGGTTGTGGGAAAGTGGTGGAATGATTTAAAAGCTAGGCTTTGCAAAGTCTAAGAGCGAACGGGCCGGAATAGTCCTGCGTCATCCCCAGGGCTCCAAGCTGCATGGGGCGTTGGGAAAGGAGGCCCAGTTTTTGTGATTCATGAGACGTTTTGTCTCCCATTTGTAGAGTACGTGAACCAGATGGAGGATTGCCTCTCGCCTAGCAAGCACCAAAGATCCCAGGTGTCCACGCTCGAGAAGCCAAAGGGACACCTGGGAAAGAACGGGCTAATCAAGGAACCAAAGAACCCTTTCCAAGGCAGCTTCACCAATGCAGTGGAGAATCCAGAGTACCTGACCCCACACAACCTTTCCTTGGCGAGTGCTTTCACACAGGCCTTTGACAACCCTTACTACTGGAACCAGGACCCTTCCAAAGTCAACCCTGCCGAACTGGGCTCCACAACCAACGGCTTCACCACGACTCCGACTGCCGAGAATCCAGAGTACCTCGGCCTCACCGCGTCCATCACGCCGCCCAAGGACACATCAGATTAACGGCTGGGGCCTGGTCAGCAGAAGAAGCTATTTCAGCCAAGGCAGCTTGGATATGTATCAGTGTATGAATGGTAACAATTCATCTATGCGGCGTGCGGGAGTCCTGTAATGAAGAATAGCACCACGGCCCGTAACTATTGCTCAAAGGCAGCTCTGCCAGTCCTCTTCAAACTAGATCTGGTTGAAGCTTGGAGATGCCCTGGAAGGACCGAACAGGGCTGGTCCACGTCTCGTTCCAGTGAACATGTAGGGACTGAGCACTGCTTTCAACAAGCCTGTCCTTCATTTATCTATGCAACCGGATTCATTTTGACAAATACCTTTGGTGTCTATGGAAAACATGGGACCTACGGGGTCTCTTCCATCTCCACCTTCTCTGTGCAGGGATTGTCAGACCAATCCACTTCCACGTGCCAACCACTGGGCCGCTTGGCTTAAAAAAGCCAGAGATGGGACAATGGTGGGGTTGAAATTCAAGGGCTTTAATCAGAGTGATTCTGACTGACTGGCAAAATGTGAAACGAAGCCTACAAGGGTGACAAACCACTGGCATCTCTTCTCCTTGCTCCATCATTAACAGGAAGGGTGGGGGACAGGCCTTCATTCCCCTAGGGTACCGATAAGGCTGGATGTGCTCTCACAGCCTGAAGGGGGTTACCAGTAATGTTTTTTTAAGACACCCATGGAAAAGCTTTAACAGGACAGGGTTGAAAAGTGGTGGAGGATCGGAGCTGACTGCAAGGGTGAGCAGCCCTTCCCTGCCCCTAAACAATTCAGAGCTGCTCATGCCGACAGAACTAGGGTGAAGCATGCAGCAGGCACTCTAGTTCAGAGCTTTCTCTGTAATAAGTAATCAAGAGCAGCAAGGGAGGAGGTATGACCAGACCACTATTAGCACAGGTACTGGCCAAGGACAGGACAGCTCAGCTGTCCAATTCAGCACCCCTTCTGGAGAACAGGATGGGAACGAGAGACAAGGAACGGAGATCAGGGTACCGGTCCGTTCCCGTTGTGTCCAGCAGCTACAGCAACCTACTTAACAGACCTTCATTCCAACTGCCCGTGGAGCTGGGAACCAGGCCTCTGTCCAAGCTCTGTGAAACGAGTGGGGGGTGGAGACAGGTATTGCTTTGCCACGATACAACCTCTCACACCATGAGATCACCCACTGAGCTGGCCCCCCTTGCTTTGACTTCCTGTTTTAAGAGAATGAACTAAAAGACAGGAGCACAGCCTGTTCCCACTGGAGTGGCATTGTCCACACAAATGTGATGGCTTCCTCATCACTCTACCTGGAGTATTTATTTTTTTAAATCGGCAGTCACTCATTGCCCCTCCAAATTATTCAAGAGGGCCACATATTACACTAAATAGCAATAATCCACTTCCAAAACTGGCTTGGGTCTTCCAGTGTGGTAATCCCGCAGACTTCCGTGAAAGCCTCAATCTCTCCCTGTATCCGTTTAGGTTTACGTTGGCTTGTCATGCAATGCCCTAGATAACATTCAAACCCTCCACGTGTGCCTCAGTTCAAACCTTCCCAGACCTACATGTGCAAGAGAGAAGTTTGCTCTTATAAAACTTCTCAGGGGGATGAGTTGACTTGTGATAAGACATCCCCAGATCCTGTTTTAAAATTTTGGTTTTATGCGTTGTACGAGGTGACTGATGGATTGTTTTTAATCATCTGTATCAAAACTATTTGTATATTTGATTGTACATTGTTTTTCTACTCTATTTGTCTGAAGTGTTTTTCCCCCTAGAGTGCACATCCCCTTTTGACTCTGAGGCAGATGTGTTTGCTGTTAACTTTCTCCTATCAGCAAACATTAGAAGTAGGAATATTGAGCATTCAGCATCCACAGCAGATAGTAACACCTAGCACTGCTGTAGCATCCTCCTGTGCAGGGGAGCAAAGGGATGTAACCTGGTTACCTATCCCTCAGGGCTGGGATCTAGCTTAAGTCATTTGTTATACAGGCTGGAAAACTGAGGCAGACACATGGCAAAGCCCTACTGCCAAGGCCTACTTTAAAATCTGTTTGATGTTAAACGATGATTACGATGAGTAATTCAATTCAATTTAGCCATCTGATGGGGAGAAAGGAGATCTGAAGCCTCCAATCCCTGCCAGTCTTCATTCAGAGATGACTAATGTCTCCTACTAAGAGGGCAGGTTCACCTGCATTACCTGAAAAGACCTCCACCTTTCTGACTCACTGCTGGAAAAAGTGAAGGTAACCAACAGCATTTCTCAACCTGGAATCTTTCAATGAATGGTTTGATTAGAAGCGGCCAACTGCTCCGTTTAACCTTGATTATAGACTCCTCAGGGCCGATGAGGTGCTTAGATATCGTGGTGGGGAACACAGTAGAACAACAAAGATAGAACAGAAATGTCTATTCTCTCTAAACCAGCATTTCTGAGCCTGATAGCCAGTCAAACTAGACCCCATCCTCATTAAGATGGAAAACATACCAAAGGGTAGAGTAAAGTCATTTTTTTCTGGGCACTAAAGCAAAATCTACCTGAGAAGAAATACTTCTGCCCAATTTGCTGAACTAGGAATCCTATGCAGGTCTCCAGCCAAGCTATCTGAGGGAGACAGTCTCAAATTTCTTTGCCAATGTTGTTTTCACTAGAGAGAAAGAGGATTTTGTGATACATGGCCCATCGTGTCGGCTCTGTCTTCTGTATATTCCAGCAGCCATTATGCTTTGAGCCAAGGAGCTTGCTAGCTGTGACATTAACACATCTGAGCTGTTCACCTTCTATCTTTTAACTCATTTGCTTTTATAACCAGGGAACCCCTACCGGCATTGAAATACTCAAAGCCTAACCTTCCTGTGTATGCACAATTTCTAAACACTAATGTAGGGCTGGTCTACACTAGAAAATTAGGTTGGTTTAACAACGTCGGTCAGGGTGTTAAGTCGACCCAAGTCTCTGTGTAGACAGTACTGCTTCCTCTCGGAGAGCTGGATTACCTAAAATGATGGGACAACTCCTCCCGTCAGCGTAGGTAGTGTCTACACTGAAGCACTCAAGTGTACACTGTTAGAGTGTAGACAAGGCCTAATCCTTCCACCCACAAGGAAAATCTCCTTTGAGTATCTGCTGCAAAAACAGCGCGGTTGTACATTGAGATAGCAAACGATGTAAAATGCTAGTGGAGACAAAGGCAGAGGGAGTTTTTACCTGCATGGAGCTAGACCAGGTCAACCCCAGGGGGTACTGGGATTGACCTCGTCTAGCTGCATGCAGTTAAAAAAACTCCCTATGCCTTTTGTCTCGCCTAGGATTTCACATCATTCGCTATCTCAATGCGCAAACACACACTTTTTGTTGGCAGCGAAGACAGCTTTATTTTACGAAGAGAGAACCTGAGGCAAAAGACCAAGGGACTGCCTTGAATGCAGATGCACAGATGAAACGCACAAGTGCTAATTATTCATCTAACATAAGGCACCCACAAGCGCAAATATAACTGTTTTCTCTGAACGACAGGTACGTAACATACCTTTCTAATCAAATGGGTTGCAACCCACAAGCGACACATTTTGGGCAACCCAGAGTTCCAGGTGACTGAATATTGTTTATGGATTTCACCCTGAGCGCTACTGTCACCACAGCTAGAGTTTCAAAGCTTTCATAGCCCAGTGCACTGTACCCCTATCTTATAACACAGCGATAATCTCCCCGGTCATTTATACTCCCCGACAAAGTAAAAAGGAGCAAGGTTTTACTGTGATTTTATTTACTACTGGCTTTTTTTTTTTTTAATACACAGTCTATAATAAATAGAATTACCCCCCTTAAAGCATAAATTAGACACTGGGTAGCCAGAATTTCATTGGCACTGCCAGGTTCTTATCTTTAACACCAGCATTCTCTTAAGTCACTTAGCACTTTATCCTTTAGCTCATTCACCCCCTTGGCATTCAGTGTCAAAGGGCAAAGTCATGACAATAGAAAGTGAAAATTGGGTGTTAAACAGGAGGAATGGGGTGGGGTGGAGGGGGAAGTTTTCTGCAGGGAGCAGATGGGCAATTAGAAGTCAGTCACTAATTATGGTTCTCGCAGGAGGAGAGAAAATAAGAAAAGGGATTTTACTATCCAAAAACTGATGTCTAATTGATCCTGCTTTAGCACTGGTTTAAACAGTGACAAGGGGTTTTTTAAATGATTAACAATACTATTTAGCATTTAAGAACAATTCAGTTCTTCTCTAAAACCTTCTGATCCAAATCACCAGGTCTTCATAACCACTGTGGTCAGTTCTCTGCCCCAAAACACTGACTATCTCCTACTCTATGGCAGGAAGCCTCTCTCATTTCCATATCACCACAGTGCTAAGAAAAACAGCCAGAGCTTTCTCAGTGCACTTAGAACTCCTGGTGGGAACTCCTGGTCTCTGGTAGACTCCACCCAACCTACCAGGATTTTAAAGGAGGGTGGCAGCAAGCCAATTAGTTGCCCATGTATGTGCTACAGAAATAGGAGAAACGGGGACATTTATGGAGTGGAAGAGGGGTAGAAAATGATGGCGTGGGGATGCTCTCCTCCTCCTTGGGGCTTGGGTGGCTGTCTGGGGTTAGATGGCATGCACAAAGTAGTACCAAAGTTTAGTCATTCCTACCCAACAGCAAGTTAGATCTCAGCTAACCCATCCCCGGTCCCAAGTCACCTGATGTGATGCTATTCCCCACAAGCCTCTTTGTACAGCAATGTTAGCGATTCAGGTTACCTTGATGTCTCTTCCACACATGCTGCTGCCTGGCCAAAGAGTAAGATAATTAAGCCAGAAGGCAGAGAGGAGCAAAGCAGCAAGGTAATGAGATTTAAGAGTGGATGGGCAGAGTTGAAGGTGATCAGAACAGAAGGCCTGTAGTGACGAGGAGGGTGCTGCCGGGGCTACAGGATGACACAGGGGGGACGGCTGTTGGTGATTTTTTCTAGCGGTTCCCCATTTCTGGCTCTTCTTATTGCTTCAATGAGCTAGAGAACAAGAGACAGAATGGAAAGGCATTAATCCCTCCATCAAAGATTCTCCCATAGGTCTCTAATGGAGATGATTAACTGAGCCCTCTCCACACGCATGGGCCAAGATCGCAGAAGCGTCTACTGATCTTGTGGGCTCAGCCTGAAAGAGTTTCAAGGGCCGGACTTTCCGAAGATGCTATGCACCCCCCTTCTGAAAAATCAAGATACCTTAAAAGGTGTCTCAAGCCAGGCATCCAAAATCACTACTCGTTTTTGAAAACGCTGGCCAGCGTTTCTAAGCTAAGTAATATTAGAGGCAGGCAACAGTTTGTGGTTTAAGCGGCATTAAAGCAGAGTTCAGGATGGTGTCTGAATTCTTGTTACAGGCAGCAGGGTTCTGATCGTAATAACATGCCCTTCAGCTTGAAACGTGCCTTGATACACTATGAGGAGAGTAGCAAAGCCCTAGGATGATGAAATGCCTTTGAAAAGCATGTCACTTCCAAAAATAGAAAGCTTCTCGGTCAGAAGGGGGTTGTTGTAAACAGGAGCGTCCCTATAGGCACATTCCACACAGGCTGATGCAAGGGTCAAGCTGGGATCTGGATACTTACATCCTTCTCATAAGGAAAGCCACCATTCTCTAGTTTGGAGAAGACAAGCTGCCCATTGATTTCAATTTCAAAGGTACCTTAAAAACAGTAAACACAACCGAGCTGTAACAATCCACAGACACTTCCAAACTACATTTTTAATTCACTGATCAGTCCCACAGGATCACTTACTCAATGCTGAAGATCAGGGCATTCAGTCAGTTTAAGCATACAGACAGCAAACAAGGAATAACATCTCTAACTGAAGCTATGTTATAAGCCTATGCTAGGCCTGTCTTAAAATAAGTGCTTTTAATCCAAGGATCTCAAAGAGCTGCATAAAATGTCCTACACCTCACCATGAGGTCAGGAACGATTATCCTCGCTTTACAGAAGAGGAAAACAAGCCACATGACTTGACTCTGGTCACCCAAAAGGCATGACATTCAGATACAGAACCTAGGAATCCTGCTGTATTCGATGACACAGCTTCAAATTTGCAGTGAAGGATCAGTTTCTGTGTACAATAATATCCCAACACCCTCGTACAACTGAACCAACCTGAATAATGTTAAGTATCCTCTCCCCCATTAAGATTACTGCCCACATCACTTGGTCTGAGGCAGTGACCTTATCCGACACCATGTGCTAAGCAGGGACAGACTGGACTGGGTCGTATGCATGTGTGGTGCAGAGTCCCTTGTGATAAGACAAGACAGGTCTGTAGTGTAGCAAACACAAAGGTGATTCTTTATATGCACAGAGCTGTGTCCTGCCCAGGGCCCTAGAAGATGCAGATTCCAGCGGGTCGCTGGTGAAAGGGCATTCTATAGCCATGAATCTCAATCAATCAAGCGCTGCCCCAGGCTCCTGATGGTTTCAAACTGAGATCCAGCACTCGCTGCATTCCTGTTGACTCCTATATTCTCAGTTGCCTGCAGAAAGAGGCAGTTCTTGTGGTTAGCAGGTCCTGGCCCAATGAGTTACATATCCAATAGGAAAACCATGTGTATGGCACCAAAGCTGTCTCCTCTCTTCTCCCACTTACTTTTAACCCCTTTCACCCTTAAATTATTTGCCAACACACAAGCTGTGTCACCTAGGTGGCCTTTAGAGGACAAAGCTTTGAGGCTGCAAGGTTGGCATGGTAGCACCTAAGTAGTTATGAAAGTTTGGTGGAAAATCCTACCTTTCCCCCCGAGCCTGGATTCAATTTCTATATCTGGGTACTCTTCTTTCACTGCACTTGCCAATTCCAGGTATGTGGACTCAAACCCACAGGGCTCACTGATAAGAAAGGAAGAAAAACAGATGGTCAGAAAAGGCACACACAGGGTAAAGCTTTGGAGATGCTACTGGAGATACTGAGAGGCTAACATGGGGGAAGACGAATTTCAGTGCCATTGCTATGCAGAGCAGAGATCTAGTGGGAGCTGAACTGTAGAGCAACATGCAAAGAGGTTGGAATGGATATGGGGCAACCCCCCAAAGACCATCTCCCCATCATATTCCCACTGAACCCCACATCCCCCTATGCATCCATTACACTACAGTCCCCTCTCTGTGAGCTGCCAATAACTCCCATCTGCCTAATTTAGCCCACCACTAAACACTCCCCCACCACATTCCCTCCATGACAAGATCCCCTCTGCAGCCCACACAACCCCCAAC